TGCAATGGCCAGATAGCCTAGGAGAATACTATGACGTGACCCTCCATCCATGGCTAAGATAGCCTAAGATAATATTATGATGCAATGGCCAGATAGCCTAGGAGAATACTATGACGTGACCCTTTATTCATGGCCAAGGTAGCCTAAGATAATATTATGGTGCAATGGCCAGATAGCCTAGGAGAATACTATGACGTGACCATTTATTCATGGCCAAGATAGCCTAAGAGAACATTAGGTAGTCAGCTATCACAATTATCTTGACAAGACAGCTATCTTGTTTGATCAACAGTTTTTGGCGTCCGTAGGCATGGTGGATTTTAGTAAAAGAAAATTACTCAAAATAGTTTTAATTCTGTAATACATTTTGACATCAATCTATACCTCGTAGGACAACTTATAGGATTTGTTGCTCCCGGCACAACACCCATGCGAGTTTTTAGATATTTCTTTACTGTAGAGAAAATGGAAAATGTCCGAAACAAACCTTGCCATTTTCACTCAATATCGAACATCTATTTCTAATCAGTTCCCCATTTTGTATTTTAAATGTGTATTGATGTGTATTTCTTGTCATGTTGCAATGATGATGGAAGTTGAATTCAGTGCAACATATGTAAAAATAAAAAAAAATGCAATGTTTTTGGTTTTGATGTCATTGAAGGCGCCAAATTTTAGGTCCCCACATCGGATGAATGAGTCGCGCCCGCTAGCGATGAAGTGCCTCTGTGTCGTAAATGAGGAGGGGAGAATTATTCACAGGATCAATAGTTTTTTTTCATCTGTTGTCATTAGTCAATATTTAAAAAAAAAAACGTTGTCATAAATTTCTTATATTCTAAGCGATACAATCGTATATTAGATGACATCTCATCGCTCACACCATCTCCGTAATTTTAACATCAAAGAAGCACTTCATCGTTAGATGGCGCTAGTCATTACAAACGTGTATTGAGTCGTTGTAATCACACAGAAATGCCAAAAAGTGGGAGACATTTCACTCACATGTTCCAAATCTACGATCTCAAAGTTTTCACTTCAGTTCTGATAGTTATATTATAAATAGCATCGTCTTCAATGCACAGGGTTTCGTTTTTTTTAATCCACTAGGAAGTCTTACCAAATAAACACTTGCAAATAACGCCTAGTCAGATGAACAAAAATATATATTTATTTTCAAGCTTTCTGTATGTTATGATATGATATGTCATACCACATACACATCAGCGTGTGTTACCTTTTTAGAACTACAAGAGCAATACTAACCATATACCTGGCATACAAACTAAATACTGTAAAACATGTCTTTTTAGCTAATTTAGCTAATCTGTAATTACGCTTATTCAAGATGTAGCTAATTTAAAATAAAGTATATTTTCACAATGAGATTGTTGGCACTTTAGCTAAATTAAAGGGCGGCAGTCGTCGCGCCGCGTTCTGTTCGATATGGGACTCATAACGACGTATACAACGCGTGTAAACTACATTGTTTATTTACATGAAATTCGAACACGCGCTGCGCGACGACCACCGCACTTTAAGATTCAGTTAATTCATGCATGGAGTCAAATCGCTAAAATATCGCTATTCAAACATGTTTTACAGCAATCACGACTACTGCCCTCTATCGCCTGGTCGAGGCCACTTTATTGCAGGTAAATTTATCCGAACATAAATAAAGTTGGAACCAAATTCTGACAGACGACGGTACTGAATATCTATAACCCAATTACATGTGGAAATGCTGGGCATGTACTGTCATTCCCATTAAACAACACTTGGCATAACATCTATATAACACACTAGTAAATACTGTATTAGTAGGATTCGGTGCTGACATGATCCTTAGCTCGGGCAGTGTGAATTACAGGGTAAAAACAGGTAGCGAGAAGGTTTTGTGACGTTTTTAAATAAAACATTCTCTGTCTGTTGTCTCGTTCAGAACAGTAATTTAGGTTATATATATCAAAAGACTAAGTATAGAGGTGCAAGTTCGCACAAACTGGACAGACATTGTTTACATAATTATCACGTGACATCAAAAATGGCGAACCTTGTAAAAATGACTAAGTACGCGATTGCGAGAGCACACTGCGGAATTTCCTGGTGAAATTTAAGTTATGCATTGTCCGTAATCAAGTCCATTGAAATGCGTCTCCGATAATCAAAAGACCTATTATTCCGATTTCT